ATTTCCCACTTCAAGCCCTTTGTGAGTAGATATTGTTTTCTTATACGACAAAATAAAAAAGTATGGGTATTTTTTTCATTATCAAACTGACGGACTAAAATATACTCTTAATTTTCATACCTGATGGACATAATAATGATGACTATCATCTCTATTCCTTAATGTATAATATAACCAATGGTACATGTTTCAAGGAAGCAGTGATTTGATTTCATAATATTAGATGTTTTTAAATTAGAAATAGAAAAAACAAAATGAAACAATTCAAATTATAGTAATGTTTTTCCAAGAGATATAATATAGTTTGTTGTAATGGGTATGTGGTATGTCATCAACATAAATAAACCTACAATTTACACTTCCAATGACTAGTTTCAAGCAAATGGACAAGTTCAACACGTACATACAACACCCTTATCATTAACGATAATTATCAACAATTTTCGAACCACAGTCGGTATTGTACTAAAATTGTTTGATTACTTTTAAACTTAAAAATGGTTTTGTTAATTATTCTGTAATTAACCCTTAAATATTTATGCGACAAAGTTTACAAAAGGTAACAAACTTGTAAGTTAACTTGAATAATACTAAACCCTAGATACTTCATTCATAAATAATGTAATACGTATCTTGATATGTATTATAATGCATGAAGAGCTATAACTTCATAATCAAATTAAACTAACTTATATATGATTTCGTGTCGTGGTGGCCCGGAGGTTTAAGACGCTCGCTTCTCATACATGAAGGTGCAAGTTCGAAACCTACCAACGGCAAGTACCAATGTGACTTTTTCCAAATTAAATGTACTTTCTAAGATTATTCAGACACCACTGACAAACGGTGAAGGAAAACATCGTGAGGAAACCTGGACTTATAATTTCTAATTATAAGTTTGTAATCGCCAACCCGCATTGAGCAAGCGTGTTGATTAATGCTCAAACCTTCTTCGTGTAAAAAGAGGCTTTGCTGTGAGCATTTATAGGCTTTTGATGTGTGATGATGTGATGATATATAATTTATTTATTACAATCTTTAATTAACGTGTAAACAAAATTTTGTTGACTTAAGTCAATTTTGTATAAGCCTTTTTTCCTGTACAAGTTTACCACTAAATCTAATATATCTGCATATCAAATAGTTTTGAATAAAATAAACATGTTTACAAGCCATTGAAAAGTTTTACAGTAAATAAGTAATAGTTTAATTGAAGATTGGAATACGACAACTAATGTTAACATAATGCGTCTATCAGTTCATCTAGAGAGGTCCTAAGCGGTCGTTGGCTTTGTAGCAACCTTCAGTACCGCTACGGTGTCAGTGCCCGTACGTCAGCTTGTAGCATTTTCGTAGCGTGAGTCATTTACTTCTATGATATTTCGTAGCATTGCGAATTTCTATACCTTTGTTTTAGATTTGTGCTTGTTGTTTTCTTTCAATATAAATAGTAGAAAAAGGTATGTCTACAATTTTGCTGCTTTTTCAAATCATAGCTACGAGTAATATGTTGAAAAAAAACAACTGATATAACATAACATGACATCACGCCTTTTTATCCCTGAAGGGGTAGGCAGAGGTGCACATAACGACACTTAATGCCACTGTACAATGTAACACCCACTTAATGCCACTGTACAATGTAACACTATTTATGTTATGAGTCCTATGAAATAGGAGGTGAGTCTATTGCCATATACGGGGCACATTTCCAGACTCCGTGCTACTACTGAGATTTTTTAAAAACCCAGTAATACTTTGCCCGACCCGGGAATCGAACCCGAGACCCCTTACCCAGCAGTCGCACTTGCGACCACTCGGACAACGAGGCAGTCACAACAGATATCACTACATAGTATAAAACAAAGTCGCTATCTGCCGTCTGTCTCTATGTATGCTTAGATCTTTAAAACTACGCAACGGATTTTGATGAGGTTTTTTTAATAGATAATTTATATATAAATAGAAGATTCTTAAGGAAGGTTCATATGTAAAATACATGCATATTGCACCCGTGCGGAGAGGGGCGGGTCGGTAGTAAAAGATATAATAATAACAAAAAGTTAACCTTCAAAAAATCAGTGCTTGTCCGAATTATGATTTGTCCTTACTTGAATATCGGAATCAAAGGAAATTAATCTCCTATTACACATTTCATCAAAAAGAACGTTTTGTGACAGACATTTGGAGTCAGAAGTAGGAAACTGTAACTGTCGCAGAATGTTATCTGACATTAATCTAAATTGATCGTTAAGGTATTATATCAAAGAAATGGTACAGAGGGCAGGTGCCAACGTTTGTAGGCCCAGATAAAAATACAACGATAAATTGCTTTATGTGAGGGTTGTCGCTTAATATTACTAAATCAAATATACCTGTCGTAAAACATAACCGCCTATATCTTTTGATAGTATATGTAGTATCGATCTATCCGTAAAATATTTGTCTTTTGGGATTTGACGAACAATAAATTTACGTCGTTGTATGAAACCGTACAAATAGTCTCCAAGGGCTTTTTATATCAATGGTTTTTTAGTAAACATATTGGATTGTTTGCTAAACTAATTTGTAAATAGAAAACCAGTTACATTAAATTTACATAATCCTTTTTTAAAAGTAGTAATCTGTTTATGACAGCAGAGTTCAAGTTTACACTTATCTCTACATGTTTCTTAAAAGCCGTTTTTCGCTCTAAGATATTCTCCTGTGTCGCGGGTACGTTTATAAGCATACAAGTTCACATACACATGACACCCAGACCCGAAACAACTATTTGTGGATCACACAAAGAGTTGCTCCGTGCGGGAATCGAACCCGCGGCACGTTGCGAGGCAGCCGGTTGCCCAGGCACCGCACCAACCTTGTCGTCAAAAAAATATTTTTCAATTCGTGCCTAGTATGTAAAAAAAGGATCGCCATATATTTTATAAGATTAATTACAGACCTGATAAGTAATGTCGCATGTCTAATAAATGATTGCCTCATTGGCCGAGTGGTCGTAAGTGCGACTGCCGGGCAAGGGGTCTCGGGTTCGATTCTCGGGTCGGGCAAAGTATTACTGGGTTTGTAAAAACCTCAGTAATAGCACGGAGTCTGGAAATGTGCCCGGTATATGACAATAGGCTCACCCCCTATTACATGGGACTCATAACATAAATAGTGAAAAGTGAGTTTTACATTGTACAGTGGCTTTAAGTGCCGTATTGTGCACCTCTGCCTAAAAAGGAAAAAGCCTAAAAAGGTATGATGTTATGTTATGGTATACCTAAGTAAAGTTTAAAAGGAATGAAAATGCCAACCCTTGACACAAAACAGCACACAATTATTATTTAACATATTTGATATTCAATATCAGTTCAACGTAGGAATCAGTTGTACGTTTTATCTAAAAGTAACTACTTTTATCTAAAATATACCTACTATTTCAGTTATTCAATTTAAGACCCGAAAAACATGAACTACACAACTGTGTAACTCTTTAATTGAATAACTGAAATAGTAGGTTTATTTTTAGATTCTCGAATATAACTTGGGTTAAAAAGGAATGTGGTACTAGTACTGAATAACAATTGTTTTGCGCTCAAATAGCTCAAATGGCTAGATCTCTAGCGACTCTTAGTATGAAGGTTTAAGGTACAGGTTAAGACATGTTCTTGTTACCTGATTTGTTTGTTATTATATTTACATACATACGTAACTTCACGCCTGTCTCCCAGGTAGGCAGAGACTTGGGAACGCCAATTACTACGATTCCTAAATACCTCTTTCGCTTCATCAACAGTTATCAATCTTTTCATGCATGCTCGTCGGTTAAGGGTACTTTTAATTTGGCCCTTATTTAATATATCGCCAATCTGGTCACTATATGATTATATTTAGGTATAAATGAAAAATCAATAAAACTATGAACATATTTATCTTTGACGATTGTGTAATGATTTTATGTGCTCGCGTAACAAAATTATTTGTTGAATTTTATGAATTTAAAGCATCTTTTCGTACAAAATTAGGTAAAATGATTATTTAAGTTATTATTCGTAACTGACACGTTTACACATAGTAATTTAATTTAGTACTAGCAGAGACACTAATTTTAGACGGAATGAGAAACTTCATGTCATTGATTTATTCTTATTTTATATTTTACTAGCGCCCCGGCTTCGCACGTGTGCAATATACGTATAATATATATAATATATGTATTATAGATATAAACCTTCCTTAACAATCACTCTATCTATTAAAAAAACCGCATCAAAACCGTTGCGTAGTTTTAAAGATCTAAGCAAACATAGGGCCAGACAGACAGCGAATGGTGACTTTGTTTTATACTATGTAGTGATACTGAATTATATTACACGTTCAGAATATTATACTACAAGATACAATTATGTTAGATTTGGATCGTAATTTTAAACAGAACTTTCATTTATAATATTTGTTTATTTTTCAATTAAAATTTGATTCTATATGGGTAGTATAATGTTAATTGATTTGTATATTATATGTACACGCGAAAGTAATTAATGTGTGTTGTTCTACTCCTGACATTAGTATTTATTTAGCTATTAAGATTTTGTAAGTAAAATGCGTAAAAACAATTTGGCAATTTGAAAAATTACTTCTTTTTATTCCTGGCATTATTAATAGAATTAAATTATTATGTAAAGTTAATAAATGGTTACGAGTACAATGTTCTTATCTATATATCATAATATTACCAGTCTGAGGCACCTACTACTTGACACGACTTTCCTAGGCAATAGACCGCTGCGAAACGAAACGTGTCGTTGGTTCGACTCCCGCACGGAACAACTCTTTATGTGATTCACAGATTGTTGTCTAGATGTGATGTGTATATGAATTAGCAGCATTTGTATGATACAGGATAATAAACCTTCGAGTGGTGAACATTTCAAAAACCATTGTTCAGAATAACAAGGTTTAGAGACTAACAAATCTTATATTATTGTTTGTATAAAAAAGTGTTTATTTCGCAGGTCATATAAGCCGAGCATCATGCCGATCATACAGTCTTGTTGCTGTTGGCGCAGCCTTCGCCGAGGCTGCTACGCCTCAGCTATTTATACAATGGTAACTAAACAAACTTTCCCATAGATATAACTTCGAATATTATGTGCACGCACACACACAGGACAGGAGCACTGCTAAACGATTAATCAGGTTCAATTCCATCACTGGGTAAAATGTCATTTGCAAGGTTTTCAAATATTATTTTTATAAATTTTACGTAATATCAAAATCGACATTTATGTGAATCTCGTCCAAGATCAATATCACTGACGTTCTCTTTTGTGTCTTTAAATAATTATAAGTATGTAGGCAGCACGAATGTTTTCCTTAAGGTGCTGGTTCTGGTTCCCTCACCGGGAGCATTCACATGTAATATAACTTTATAAATTCGACTTTAAGCATTACATTACAATAATACCTCCCTGACTAACGGGCATATGTAACATATAGATTCGACTTTCAGCATTTCATAGCAAGATGTCAGACATTGATGTTACAAGTTGTATCAATATATTAGACATTGTATCATTACAAGGTGCACATTGTAATGTTCGGTTCTCTTTCTTCGCTGATGTAATGCTCAGATCTGTAACATTACATTACGCGCGAATGCTCCCAGTGAGAGATCACCTTTATAGTATTCAAATAATGTTATTGAAATAATAAATAATAATTTCATGGATACTATTGCTCTAAAAGATTTGTTTGCGGCAGGTGTACTTTTCGGTCACAATTGTGACAATGGGGCATTTCATCGATATGGAACAACGCTACCTAACCGGTGACGCGACCGAGCCTACATCGGAAAGCTTCTTGGAACCGGAGAAGATTACACCGAGTGAGTAAACAATTTCGTTCAACTATCCGATTAAATAGTCACCAGTCGGTAACAGATGGACTTGTGTAAAGTCGATACTCACACTTAAGAACCCACAGCTTTTAATTCACGTAATAGATTTTTAGTATTCATTACTACGTTTGTTATTACTACCGAGGTTTCTATAAGCCTCTTATGGTGAACAATGCATATTTACTACGCTACCAGCTTTATACTGCAAGTACGTACTAGTATTGCATCTCATTGTACGAAATATTTAATATTATTTTGAAGATACAATACTAGAGGCTTATTAATTTGTTCAGACAGAGCATAAGACCTAAGTACATGCACTATTTTGCACTAGCTTGACCATTCAATAACATAGATGTTTATTCAATTTATTCCTGTTAAATAAAATTTGAACTTTACCTTATACACATTAATTGAAATTTCGCATAACTATTTTACAATAATCTGAGTAGATTACGGTAATTTTGATCTACTGAAAAAATGCATATGTGTTCATAATACAATTGAATTTATAGAAAATTTTGTATCTAGGTCCCATAAAGTATTGAACTTTTAGTTCTATTTCCACTATGAACTTGTGATTTCGGAAAGTTCATGCAAAGGTATATTTTCAACACGACTAATGTCACAGATATCGTAGGTCCCAGACAGACGTCCCGGTATATTGCAAAATATCCTAAATTCTAGGACGTCGCCGTCGCTGAGGATGCAAGCAAATAAAACACTCGAAAATGGTTGTTAATATTTTAGTAGGGACAGGGAAAATAATTCATTAACTGGTTACATTTTGTGGCTACACATTGCAACTGTAAGGCGATTAGCAATTGTTCTTGCTGAAATTGTCGTCACAATAGATGACAATCTGTTGTTTGTAAGTATACAAAATACTTAAGTGCAACGGAACCCAGAGAAAACAGTGCAATCCTCTAGTTATTTGAAGAAAATACAAAGAAAAGAGACAAAGGTATGAATACCAGATTAGATTGTCGGAGACGACAATTCGTAATATTTTTTTCACAATAAGTGATTCGAGATTTATTAACGCTAACTACGACTTGCCGTTTCATTGGTAAATGAAACATGGGAATTTTATTTGTGTATATTTTATAAAAACAAAAATAAGGCTTGATAATGCCGAAATTTATTTAAAAATTCTGTTTCTTTAATATCAGTATAAAATGTAATATGATAAAGAGATGTGAAGTATTCATATATCTTCGTTTTTCATCGATATTTGTTTTTTATTTCTTTTCGAAGTATTTAATTTATCGGTTTTAGCTATGTATTACATATTGAGAAAAAAATAATAATACATAATTGAAATTGTTTGAGCTTTAATAAAATTATTGTCGAGGTTGCCACCAAATTACGTTTTTTACACCTTCCAGTACCTATTGTTCCTGAAAACTGTAAGCATATCAAGTTTATGTCAACCCCTAATATTTTCGGGCCTTGGGCTGTAACAAAAGCCTTCAGATAAATCCATCTTCGACATTTTTCAATTATACGTACAATGTGCCATTTTAGTAAAAACTTGACGTCGTAGAACTTCTGTAAGAGACAGTTATGTTGATCATTATCGTTATCAATATGTATGTGTTTAAATACATTGCGCTACCGCGAATATATATTTTATCATCATAGTATATCGAGCTGTAAATCACAAAAAAAAATACAAAAATTTAAATTTGGAACACCCACATTAAGATATACATAAATAGAATTAGAAGAAACAGCTTTACGTAGCGATTTTACCAATGCTTTGAGGTATGTAGCCAAGTATCTACTAAATATATCACAGCCATGATTTGCATAATATAATTATACCGAACCCAAAACAAAGTTTTTGTTTGACTAAGCTAATTAATATACACGGGAATTTGTTTCTATTGTGTGTATTCATGTCATTGTTACCTTATTATTAATTAATCACTTCTGTACCCACTTATATATGTTTGTGTCTGTAAACAGACATTAATGTGGTGTATATTAATTGTATTATTTACTTCTTAATTAATAACAAATATGTGCGCACTTGTATACTTAATATAAAAGTTCTTAAATGTCGCAAATTCGAAGGCTGAACTGTGATCATCGTGATTATCACAATATTGGTCAACTAAGATTAAGGTTTCTTAAACTTTGATTAGACCATTTTTAGGCCAGCTGATAACAAAGGCAAAAGCATTCATGTAATACCTTTGCAGAATATTTCAGAATAACGACAATGTCAAACGGGCCAGTAAGCTACGCGTAGCTTTTCGCTACGTAACACAAACGCTGTTGTAAAACAAAGCTTTTGTATGTGAACTGTCGCTTACTGAAGCAGCCGTGTGAATTCAAACCAACTTTGCTAGTACCTACATAGTTACCTACCACAAATGAAAATAATTCCTAGTACCCGTGTGCAGCATCGTCCTTAGTTGGAAATATCACACACACACACAACAATGATAGACGTAAGAGTAATTCAGAACTGCAGCACATCCCTCAGTTTACTCCGAACTTCCGTCCGAACAGGAACGCGATCCTGTGTTGAGGCAATTGGTTGCAATTTTTAAATATTTTTTTGCAATCCCGGGTTACTCAGTGTCGCTACGGAAGCGACATGCGGCGCACTATCGGGTACTAAGCTTTCCAGGAAATCAGTGCGAATGTACGAACACTTCCTCCAACTCCAACAGACACAAAAATGGAAAATATTTTACAAAACGAAAACTTTGCTTCGGGATCAGAAAACGGCCATCCAAGTGAAAACGATCAACACGAATTTGATGCTGAGTGGACGACAGTAATAAATAAAAAAAAGGCGAAAAGAGCACAGAATCAAAATCGTAATAAAGACCTCCGTCACGATAAAAATACGTTGCAACAGGTAAATAACATACCGCACAATTTTGAAGAAGATATAAAATACTTTGAACTTACAGTTTCGTGCAAACATAAATTTCCAGAGCAGCCAGAACTAAACAATATTTTCAAAGAATGTAACATAGACATTATACACGTGAAATACCTTAGTCCATACAAACTCCGCCTTATATTGGCTTCAGAATTGCATGCGGACAAAATGTGTTCTAGTCAACATTTTGCTGCGATGGGCTGGAAATTCATTAAGAACTTTGATGTCTACTTTCTAAACGGCATCTTACGCGATGTCGATTATGAAATAGATGCCGATGAAATAATTGAGGATATTCACTGCCCAGATAATACTGAAGTTATAGAAGTTAAACGGCTTAATCGCCTATGTATAGGCAGACTTGGCTGGGAAGCCAGTAAAGTAATCAAACTCTGTTTTAGAGCTAAATATTTGCCACCTTATGTATATACGCATGGGTTACGAATAAAAGTGGAACCATATGTTTCTCCCGTTACCCGATGTGCGCGATGCTTGAAACTAGGTGTACATGAAACACAAAATTGTCCGTCTAAAGGAACAGTATGCCACAGGTGCGCTGAAAATCATAAACACTGCACTACAAATAATTTTAAGTGCATTAATTGCTCTGGAAATCACATGGCCGTAGCTAGAACCTGTCCGACATTCTTAAAAGCGCTAGAAGAAAAAAGAACTATAGTAGAAACCAACAGTAAGTTTAAAAATACTGTAGATTTAAATATTTCACGTGAATCCGCAACACATTTTATGGTACACAGCGTGGGATTCAACAGCCCTATCCTCAGAACTCCTGTTAATGCTGTTGAAACGAAGCTTACATTTGACGCAACGAAAAAATTTTTTCTGAAGCCTCGTACTGTAAAGAAGCTTAAAGCACGGTCTGTAAGCTATGCTGGCATTGTCGAAGGGTTTGGTGATGTAGACAACGAGGCAGCCCCTTGCGTCGAAACTAGGCCTGTAAGACGAAAAAGATCGAAGAAAAACCATCAGAACGTGTTGGAGAGAAACAGCACCGAGACGAAAGAAAATTTGATGAAATACTTGATACTCGCAGGTAAAAAAATCTCATCATGCAAGAGAAAGTCCTGTATTTTGCTTTTTTTTTAAATTAAAATAGACAGGAAGTAAACGGAATTTTAAAAACTAAAGGAAAGTGGCACGTAGCCTTTTCATCGACGTATTCTGTCAACGGGTAAAGTCACAAGTCCCAAAATATTTTTTTCAGTATAACTATGCCGTGTTGAGCTATTTTGGCGTACAACAATTGAACTAATACAATCATCATTAAAATGATGGTGTATCATACCATCGGTACGTACGATTTTATTCAGTTTCATAGACAAACGTAATAATTTGTATTGACATGCAATCTTCTAAAACGTCTTATAAATGTCAACTTGACGTAATGGTAATAAAGTTGATTTTACATTGATTCCATTAATTATTTCATTCTAGATACTTCTCCGCTACTTAATTAGTGATGTGTCAGTACAGATTTTATAGATATCGATAAAATATGTAAAAGAAGTTTATTAGAAGCAATAATAGATATCTGTAGATTTTTAAGTCGCACAATACTTATTTACAGGTATTTTAGAGACGGTAGCATAAAAAATTGATAGATGCAACGGGTAGAATTAATTGGATGCCATCCATAATTAGCTAGCAAACTAGAATACCATTTTAATAAGAACAAAATTTTAATATCAAATAGAGAATATTTATAGTTACCGGGTGTTATTTATATTCTTAAACTTAAGTACATTAAGCACGTTAATTATTATTATATGATTAAAGTTTAACTAAACTCATAAGGTCGGGTATCTGTTGATATCGATAATGTAATTAAACATACAACGCCCCGAACCTGGTCGAAAAAAAAATGGCTTATGACGCGATTGTAAACCTTATTTGTAACGAAATTAAATTATAATTGCTAAGAACGTCACCATCTAAGGCCGAGTAGCAGAATTTACTTGTCAATTAAATCTACTTAGACTTAAGATTGTATAACGTCTTAAATATACTCTGCACTATGCAAAATAAATCCTACACAATTGGTTTAAGGTTTATTTCCGGATGTAAGATATGCGACTTAAGCTGGTTTTGACTAAAATTTAAACGACAAATGAAAATTTTTATTTATTTGTAGTGCAATGTGTGATTATCTTTTGATTTGTGTGAGTTTGGCGACAGTGGTTACCGTATAGTAATCGTGTTGGATGGCACTTCCTCTTTGTTTTCAAAATTCCTTGGGAAAAACATTTAGGTATGCAGATTACAAAAAATGGCTTTGAGGTCAAGTAAGTTAGTATGTTCAAATAATAAGGCCTATAAATTTACCTTTTAGAGTACGCGGATATTAAACGAGTCACTTAGGGCCAATTTCTCAATTATCAGTTAATTGTTAACTGTAAAATAATATTACCATTTCACAGGTTTTAGTATGCAAGAAAGTTATTTATATTATTATACATTGTTATACCTCTTATCTAGTTCAAAGTTAATCCTCAGTTAAAATTTATCTAGCGTTGGATAAATCGGCCCTTAATAAAACAATAACTTACTAAGTTTAAAATTAGTAATTAACATGAAACAAATTTGAATTGCTCTATTTAATGAAAAGAATAACATTGTTATGTTTAAGTGACAATGGCATGAAACAAACATATCACTAATTATTTTTGCAAAGTATTTTGATTAATTTTATTTTCTTATTTCAAAAAAATGCAAAACACACCTTGTAGGTACGTATCTATCATTTAGTGTACGTAATTCACTCTATGACACAGTAAAGGTCTGCAAATCAAACTGACATTTTTGCCTTTTGATTGTGGCAATGATTTGTGAAATCGATACTACGCACAGGTTTTTAAGCATTTTGCATAAACGCTTATTGCATCATTCTGCTTTATGAATTGATTGAATACACATTGTGTTTAACTGTTAATAATTTTATTTGAATTAAATAATGAAAGTAAGAATTCATTAATTTATTGTTGATGCAGCACATTATACAGATTTTATACATACGTACATACGTCTTATTATTATTTTTGGTTAATTTAAAATATGTTTACGTCCCATATACCGTGCATATTTTGTTTTATAGCTATTGATATTGGTATTGGCAGGTTAGAATACAAATAAATAATGGCCTAACAGAGGTACCCAAAATGAGCACCGTTACTTTAATGATTTAATAAACACTAAAGCTATAGCCATCTGCAAACCACATACAGGTAAAAGCTTAGCACAAAATAGTATATTTTTTTATAAATAAGTACATCTGAAATCACCTTTAATTGAACAATCAGCTTCCACTTTCACGCCTCGTGTAAGAGCAACAACCGATAGTTTTAAATCAGTAATTACAATAATTACTATAATGTAAATATTCTTTTTTACGTAGTTCTAACATTGTGGCGGGTAAAATCGTGCTTGCCACGGCATCGCATAATACTGACCTTCTCAGAACTGTTTGCATCATACTGTAAGTACACGAGATCATTTTCAACTATATTTTGATCCCAACATGAAACGATATTCTCTCTCTTATTTACTAAGATTGTATGTAAGTTAACTACGAGGCAATCAGAGGCTATTCGTCTTCAGATAAAAATCTATATTTGAGTGATTTATGAGAATCGCTGAAGGGTGAATGGGTTTGAATACCGAGTTATTTTCTATAATAATCTACCATTAGTTTTTCAAAGACATCAGCTTATTCAGTCATTGAATATCAAACTAGTTGTAGTATATTGAATTATGAATATAAGTGTATTACAGAAATCTAATTCTCTAGTTTTTACATATGATCTTAAAAACTGCTTTCACCATTATCATTATTATAAAAAAAATGGTTATAATTATGAGATAAATAGTAGATATCTTTTAGTACACACGTGTTCTATGTACGTAGAGAAAATCTTTTATAGTAAATCGAATTATCATTGGTTTTCTTATTTTATCGTGGGAGTACTTTTGAAGTATCAGCTCAGAATAAAGCAGATAAATTTTCAAACAAACCAGTTCGAGAGCCTCTCTTCGAATGGTTCCAATTTGGGATATATTTTTTATCCGAATAAGAGGTGGTACTTATACATTTTACACACGCCGTCTCATTCGATTACGTTGAAAAAAATATTTCCCAATTTGTAACTCAATCACATTCAATATAACCTTTTCAATGAACCAGGTACGCTTTGCTCGCGTATTGTAATATTAATACAGCCACGTCATATTAAATTCTCTTTAAATATCAAGTACAGTCAATAAATATTTAACTTTGATATATTTTACAAGTACGGTAACTCTAAAGAAAGGAAAACTTTGAACATCCATTTTCTCGTTGAATTCATTTTCAAAATTGGGATTGGACTTTGCGAATATTTTCGGTTTGAGTTTCGGAAGCAAAAAAACGTGCATGTAATAATAATTGTATTTTAAAGTTGATTGAAGAGAAGAAATGAACTTTATGAACAATCGTGATCGAAAGCTTTTGGTGACTCCGGCTACCACAGATTCCTATGGGTGGTAAAATTAACTTCAGGCATACTTTACTGTGGCTGCTGTGTTTAATCTACCTGTTTCTAAATTTTCATATACTTAATCATTGGTGCTTCTTTTGATTTACTTATATGTATTATAGTATAAGATTTTTTTAAATTATACATATACATACAAATTGGCATGTTATTTTTCCATAATTAGCAAAAATCATAGCATTTTTTATTAACATAAAACAAGCAACAGACTAAATTGGGATGATGACAGAGTATGAAAATTAAAAATCTAATTAGTCCGTAAGTTAGGTAATGAAAAATAATTAGACACATTTTTTTTATTTCGTCGTATAAGAAAACAATACTTGGATATAACGAATCTAAGTTTAGGGCTAAAACGTCATTTTTACGTATAAAATGTACAAAGAAGTGACGTCATGCGACATTTCAAATTCATATATCGTCGAAAGTATTCGTTTCTGTAAGCAAATAAAAAATACGTGTCTAATGATTAAAAATAATCTACTAGACGGACATTGAAAAAAAATTAGGCATCTACCCTATTATCTCGAAACCATTTTACCCGACTGCCAAAAAGATAATAATGATTGTAACACAATCAAAATTATGTCGTCGGACTACAAAATTATTTTAAGATCCAGTAAAAGCAAAATTAAGTTAACAGCGAGAATCACGTCCAAAAGAAGAAATAAAAAACCCCTTTGAAGACTATGAAGTTCGTAGTGAAACCGTTTTGAGTAAATTTTAATGAGCTCGAATTATATTTACCTTAAGATTAGCAGGTTTTGCACTGACTGAGAGTTTTCGTACAAAATCGAATTCGTATACCACAATATAATACAGATTTATATTATGTTACATTAGGACGACGATTGATATACGATTATACATTTTTACATTAAAAGGGGTTTAGCAAGAAAAACATCTGACAATGGAAATAGAAATTTCAAATTGATAACAATATTTTTGTTATAATTTTTCTTTGAATGTTTGGATTCAGTTTCACTGATTGTGGTTTTTTTCTTGTAGTCACGGTGTCGCTCAACATTACACTGCTGGTTTGCAGCACCATTGGACTCGTCGCTTGTATTCTGCTGATAGTTGGAGTAAAAAAGGTCAGTATGCATTCATGTGTCTACACTTGGGAGTAAAGGCACGGAGCCATTATCTTTTCATTTTCATTTCTTCATAAATATTTTCTGACTCAAGTATTTTATTAATTGGTAAGGTACATCGTATAAAAAGTAATTATGTTACCTTTGAAATGAGAACATTTTCTAGTAAAAGGAATAATTTTGTTTAATTTATAGAGGTTTCGATAAGATAAAAAAATTCTAGTGGCTCCGCATTTTCACTCCCAAGTGCATAAAGTCATACACTTTTTTTATTTTAATTCCAAAACCAAGTGTCTGTTATTGATTCTTTGTATAATAATTTTATAAACCTTTTAGATCTTCTAACCAGTTGTAACGACTGTCACATGCGTTTAAATTGCAATGTGTATCAGTTAATCAACTACGTGTAAATT